TATATATATATATATATATGGAAAACCTACACGTGCAAGATATACTCCCTCGGTATATGTAAGAGGGTGCAAAGCCGTGTGATCAGGGCTTTATGGCAGTTAGTTGATGCCTCTGTGGTTCCTCGTATCGCTTTCTGGCAAAATTGAGAAATAATGCGCATGCCCGGTTCATGATCACAGTACATCCTAGGCGCGTTTCTTTTCGTGTATGAAACACACTCATTTGTATCTCAGGTTGGTTTTAACAGCAGAGCCAGATGATTCTCCCATTCATAATGTTTTCCAATTGAATATGCTACACAAGGGACGCCACACTTTTCGGTTCATGTGGTGTTTATGACTACATCTACCTGATGAGCTCCTGAAGGGTGTAACTGGTGGTGGGCTGTCGGAGGGTCCCCGGCAGCCTTAGAAGTAATGTTCTGAGGAACAATTCTTTCTTTCAAGGTGAATTGGTGGTGATTATGCCTGTGTTCAAATTGATCCGATGGGGGCTAACATGCCATTTTTTTAGTGTTCTGGTGAAGAGCTTCCATGTAATCATCTATGTGGATTTCCGTACACTCGTTACGTAATAGTTAGCCCTGAGCTCAGAGGTTGCTGTGCGAAGGGCCTTGTTCGAAACCAACCCTGGATTTCCGATTGTTCTTGTCTATCTAGCCTTGAGCGACCTGGCAGTACTTCAGCCATCGCGCCTCCTTCGAGTTGCATTGCAGCTGTGAACCGAAAAGACGCTATATATGAACCATTATTTCAACCCTATCCGTGACCGCACAGGCGGAAAACCTTTTCGCTGTAGAATACTGAATGTTTTTCTCTCTCGATTCGAAACCAGCGTATGATATTGCCTTCTATACAGGAATTCGTTTTGCTTCTCGCGGTTTTTCAATAGACGGCTGCTTACGCTAGTGAGGACGGGATTCTCACCAAGCCGATGATGGACACCGTGGTTCAAAGTGCGATCGAGGCGAACCGGAAGAAACGAGAGTGGCGCCATCACAAGTTGCCGGCTCCGGGCGACACAACGGATCTTGCCGGCACATGAACTGTATACTGTTGACTCCTCCTGCGCCAATATTCATGCTTTAGTCATGTAACCAGGGTGTTTGTCCAGTTTCGCAAACTCGGTCTACGCCCTGATTGTCATTCTGGACTTTTGCACCTTTTATAAAGTCGACAGTTGTAGAAACCGTGTACACATTGTTTTGCGCCATGATTAGTTATTCTTGACCGATCAACCAACACCAATGGCATCTTGTTGTTCTAGATTTTCCGGTCTCTGAGGGGATTTTTGACATAAACGGGAGGAATGGGTACCAGTTCAGTACACGGGGACTTATTCCCTGATGTTCACGATCTATTAGCGCTTCGGAAATTACTGGATTAACTTTCTAGGGCAGTGATTATTGACCCGGGGAACTCTGAGCAGATCGAAGTAGAGGGTGTCCCTCACGAGCAGGTGCTCTTGCGAAGTAGCACGATTGAACTAAACCGTTTTTGGCATCTGCGTTTGGATAACGGGAACAGTTGCAGTCAGTAGTTTCCGTCTGGGCTGGAGTAGTGAATGCTCCGGCTATTTATCCAGTTCGACGTTTCCCGGTTCACATGCGACCTAATGATGATTCATCCTATCAAAGTGAAACTTCGCCCATTGGTTAGTAATAAATCCCTAGAGAAAATGGTGCTTTTCATTTCTGCTTGTGATTAATCTCGGCCCGCGATACAGAAATCTTCATACCATTCTTGGTTCGCGTTATATTCTTTTCCGATACTTTAAGTGTGTAGATCCGTTGTCCACGACGGAACACGATTGATGCTAAATGGTCCCATTTGACGCCCAAATGAGGGCATCCCCAGGCAAACAAATTTCGAGCTATGACATTTCTAAGCAACGCTGGCACCACAAAAGAATTCGAAAAATCCAAGTAAACCAGCCCATTGAGAAGCGAGCAGTTCGACTATTACGGAACATTTGTCTGCATGTTATTTGCAACAGACCGTGCTGAATTGTGTAGGGGCTTGGCGACAAAAGTTTTCTGTCGGCCAAATGAAATTATGCGCATGGCAGTCGCGTATGAACGGTCTATAGTTGTCGCCTACCTTCGTGATACAATGGTGTGGCGTCTTCATCCACCACTTTGTGTTGGTTTTGGCAAATTTGTACAGACCACCTCCCTAGTTTGCTTGGTTATTTTAGTGAGAAAGTGGAAATCGACGATTCGAATCTTTTCAGAAATGTCGCTCAAGATCAAATCACGTTTCTCAATCCGAATAGCTCAAGCGTTGGGTTGGTTGAGAGGTAAACAGTTGCAAACCCTCATATCTCTCTCGTCGTGCAACTAACGGCTCGAGGTTACTCGTGACGATTGTTAGAGGTGATAATTCGTGTGTCTAGCGTACACTGGTGGAATAGCACTAACGCTCGCATCGCATGTCAGATGTCCGGAGTTCAAACGGCTGAGGTTACGCGCTGTTGATATACTCTGCTAAGAGCGAAACTGATGTCCAGTGCTTTTTGATGTGGACTCACCAGAATAATTGCGCCGGGACAGGAGAAGGACGGTCCAAACATTAGTGGTGTGAACGCGAATTTGCTAAAATAAACACTGTTGTCGCTGCTGTACGCTAAAAATACCTAACCGTGAAGTCTACGTTGAAACGCTGCACGGACGGCGGTCTAGCTTTACTAACCTTTCACAGTCTCAGGCATTTGACATTACCTGGAAACGGGTACTTTTCTATGAAACGACCAACGTACACTTGCAAACTGCTCCTGACGGCTCAGTAATTACTGCAGTGAGCTGCCGATGGTGGGACTGCTGACAACTCAGGAACACACAAATGAACTCAGATTATGGTCTCGTGCGGTGAACCTCAGAAACCAGCTCTCTAATAAACAGTGGGTTGACTTTGCGAACTACGTTAATGCGATTTCCCTGGGGCATACATTAGAGAAGAAAGCCAGTTATAGGCGACGCAAGAAACCCTCCCTGTCTTGCTTTGTGGCGTGCATATAGAAACCATGATACTAGAACGGTCACTCATCTACCTCGGTCTCCGAACATGATTCAGCTAATTGATTCGTTAGACTCTACCTCAAATTAAACCTGCTTGTGGACCTGGAGGTGGTGGGATGAGAAAGTTCAATAAATTGATGTGCTGTAGCGAATTCACAGGAGTTTATTGGGTTCGTACATGAGTGAGCCAAAGACAATACTAAAAAGTAAATATGTCATGAAAGCCAGCATTTGAACCGCCAGACGGTGTATCGACGACCGTTGATCTGGTCTTGGCAACTGACTGGCGAACCAATCAACAGTCAGCTGATTAATTACCAGTAAATACATCGGAGCTACCAATATTCCACGCGACTCCAATGACATTTCGGACCTCATCCTAATCACGTTGTATCATATGCCCCCGGCCTTGAAACGTCATCGGACTATAAAGCCGCATGAGTTTTCACCCGCGCTATCCAAGATCAATGACGAGTATGCATAAGTAAATTACGTGAACTGTCTGAGAACAAGAACACCTTTCAGAGAGCTGTGTCCATTCATTCACCGAAAGGTGTGTCCGAGGCGACTCCCGATCACAGGGGTGTAAGTCTTACACTTGTCGAAAAAAGTCTTTTGGCGTCTCCAGGATTACAATTTGGTACACGGTAACGGGCAGACACGACCTTGACCAGGTAAAGTAAGTACTGGTCACATGTTTTCATTGTCAAATGCTTGGGCAGTGCCGCACAAACCGCTGATCACACCGTCTTTTTTACCCCCTTGAAATGTCAACTTGAAAAGCTTCGATGGGTCTGCCTTTCTTTGAAGCTGCACAGAATGCTTATTGAACTCTGACAAAGGTCAAAATGCACATCAGCGAGTGAGTAATATTCAAAACTTGTGCTGTTTTTGACGTCAGAGACCAATTTTAGCTAAATGGAAGGATTGTATGTACTAGGTAACAATGGAAGCAGTTTCATTTCACTATGTGAACCTCCGCTCTGAAGACTTCAAAAATCCCAGATCAGTTGATCGCAGATGCCCTCTTAATTGACTGCAGTATGTACACAGCAAGGCATTGGCTAGCAGTCAGGGTCCTCAGGAAAGCAAACAAAATCCATCACGTTGTGGCTACTAAAATATGTTTAACGTACCCTGCGTTCCTGTGTACCGAGAAATGTCTTAAGTGACGCTGTGGAGTGGCACACTGGCGTACTTTGGCCGTTGTGTACTCGGTCGGTATGTTTTACTCAGCCTTGCATGGTCACGTACCAAACATGTAATCGATTTTGTGTGTTTTGTTCCGTTCGCCTCGTCGACGAGACAAACATCTCGTCCTTTTGCAGGTCTTTCTACACTGTATCTATGATGCGATAACGAAGCATCTGTGCTCAATCCTGATGATGCAAGCACAGCTGGAATGCTTTGTATGAAAAGCCAGTTAGGAGGGTTGTCAGTAAAGTGGGCGCGCTGCTTTATGCTTTAGCGTCGTTTAATGCTTTAATGGGTGCGGCCGCGCCCATGAAGCTCAGAAAGTCTTCCCGGTAGCCATTGGTCCGACCAAAGACTACTGAGCTAGGGTGTTTTCAAGGAAAACACATGAAACAACGCATGATTCAGTAAAAAGGGAAAGTCTGACAGCCGGCAGTACAAACTTACAGTCACCAAGGGAGGGTCATCCTCCTCCAGGGGAGAATTTCATTAACGTAGATCACATCAGTCTAGCAAGATTGATATAGTGCATGAGGCTACAATGTGAGTGTGTTAAAATAAGGAAACGATGGATTGTCGATGAACTAGGTTGTACACATAATCAAATAATGTTGTTGCGGACTCAATCAAAATGGATCATCTCGGTCAAGCGGACTTGGGGAGCACTTTAAGAAGTGTCGGAAGTTTTGTCTGAGGAGTAACCGTGTAATCTGGGAAGTTTGTCATTATAGGCTTGAACATCCACTTGTCAGGGTGCATGAAGGGTCTCGGAACTGACACTGGGAGTTTGGACCACTCGAATGGAGGCACATCATCGTAGGTTGGTCCCGAGGTAGCCACCATGTTCATCTAGGACGCAATCGATGAAAGGACAGAGGTTGGAAAGTTCAGACTTGACTAGCAACTCCCTTTGTCAACAATAATGGAATAGATTGTGCGTTAAGCTGCCAGTAATAATAAAATATTCCGTGTTACTCAGTGAGTAAAAGAAGCATGTAACTTATTTTTACCGTAAGAAACCACCTTACTGTGAATTGCCGGAAAATGACGCTCTTCCTGGTGGCAAAAGTTTGTAAATTGAACATGAAATCTCGCTCCCATTAGTTCCAGAAAAACGGGCACAATGATAATTCCCTGAGTGAAAGTCAGAAGGAACTTGGGTTTTAAATGGATCATCCGATTATCAACGCGCACAAAAATACCAGGCAGGATCGTTGAATTAGGCAGACTGCCTAGATGTATGTCATAATAACAATGAATTATCCCCTACTTTATTTGAACCAAAACTATGTTCAAATGAGCCGCTTTCAAGGTTATCCTCAGAACCAGTCGTGATATCCTGAAATCCTAATTCGTCTTCATCTCTGGTCACCATTGTCATTACGAAGCACTGTGGACGTAAAAATGGCATCGAGCATATGAATGTTGGACTGTATTAGGCAAGTTGATGTTTACAACGAAATCATCTGTCCACGTGTACCGACGTCAGAACATTGGTTTTCTCCAAAGGGATACGGAACTCCATCGAAAGGTTCTACGCAATAGGTGAGACAAGTGGAGCAACTGTAAGTTCTACTCATTGGTATGCTGACGAAATTACCGGGTGTCTATCGCCACAACAAACATGACCCCAAACGTGTTAGTGTTTGTGTATCCGACTTAATTGTTTGATTAACAAAACAAACACAACTCTAACATGCTTGTGTTCTGTTCTGAAGCCATCTGTTTAGGTTACGACAGCTAAATACCATTGGTACATCAGTATCAATGATACGGAATGTGACAACTTCATGTGGGCGTTCGTGATATGGTTTATTTTCTTATTTGACAAACTGAGTTCGCAACGCAACGCATACGCAGACTTGTATTTCACAGATTCGTAGTACACTGATTTCTCTACCGGCTAATTGGTAGAGAGTCCTCTACTGTACCATTCAGCCTGGAACCCCTGCCCCCATTGCACCGAAATCTTCATTTGAAGATCACTGCTTAGGCGGAAAATGCCCTGTGAAGCAGACGTTTCTCGAAGCATGTTGCTGAGGTAACAAGGTGGGTGTGGTGTCAAGTTATCTATGATGTTTTGCACCAGACAAATCTCCAACACAGTTGAGCATAATCTACTGGAAGTTTCGGCTATAGTTGAACAGTATTTTGGGGAACCCGTATAATGATAGGACAGATCGAACCACGGTTTCATAGGCTTTGCAGATAGGATGACGAGTTTCGTTGCATTTATCTCACGATTCCTTCTAGGTTATTGACGTGCCGTCTTACCAAGGTTTTACGTAAGCCTGTTTTCGTTCCGTTCCAATGGCTCACGGATCCGTTGTGATTCTGCGAAATAGGCTGCCAAAACAACAGATTCTTGGGTTGGAAAAACCACTTTGCTTATTCCAAGGGAAAGTTACCTTGACCACATTACTGAGATTAACGTGAATACTGGTGTAAACGGATTCACAAACCATACTGATTGATTGGTCTTGGGTCTCAGTCAGTCCAAATCAGCCTTACTGTAAGGTCTCAAGCCTGGTTTGCGTTCATCAGGGTAATTTGGTGATTATGACCTTTCTATAGTTTCTGTCAGATGAACAGGTACATCGTATGGGCGCTCAATGCATGCGAATGTTGCACCGCCTCGCAGTCCTTGAATGCAGTAGTACATTCTACTGAGCCGGTTGTTCTGGTGCCAGCTGGCGAACTCGCTATCCCGTGGGCTACAGGTTTGATAGTATTATGTAGAATACCGTTGGGGCCGCGCGATCGGTTCTATTCGTGCTATCGTTGAATTCACAAGACGTCTGCTGTCCTATCAAATTTGATTGTTTTTCTCTAATATTGATTAATCGTCTGTGTGTGCGAGTGAAAGGGCGGCGCCAGATTATTCTTCTTTGGACCAGTGCTCTCCGAGCAGATTACCTCTAATGGAATAGCAATGTTCAAAGTTCGACCAAAAAATTGATTTTGTTGTTCACCGCCATATGTTTTAAATTTGAGAAAAAACGGAAGTCTCCCAATTGTCAAAATGCACTAGGTTCCCGTGATGGACTGATTTTGTGAAGAGCAACGGGTTCCCGAACGCCACAGTACCATATTTTTTTTCTAGAAAACGCGGAAAACCGACAGAGATAATTGTTTTAAATGCACTTTTACGGAGAAAATGCGAAAACTGAATTTTTTGATAAAAGTGTAGAAATCAGCACAGCTGTGTCGGCAATTTAGGGTCACCTATCATTCAATAAGCTTTGGAAAATTGAACCCACATTATCCTTTGGCTGAATGAATAAAAACTAACCGAGCTGGCTGATAACCGCCATCTGCAATTTGGAACACAACAGCGAGAACTTTTAGTGCTATCCGCTCGGTTTCTCACCTTGAATGCGACTGAGTACACCGAAAAAATTCTAAAAACCCTACTATGCGACTCGGAACGGTTGTGACAGGAATTCTGAATTCAGCATTACAACCATGGACTGCTGAACAACTGAAATTACTCGTCGTTGTAAACCGCATAGTTCGTTCGGATAAAATCTCAATAAGTAGAAAAGACAGTATGGTTTCACATAGTAGCGGCCGCTGAGTAAAACAAAGCGTCAATTTTTAACCGGTAGCCGTATTTACGCCTAAGCGATTCGATTCGCTTCCAAACCCATCTACGGATGCTCGCTCAGGATGAAATGAAGAACCGCAGAAGCTTCAAAAGAGTTTTGTTTTATTTGGTTATGCTCATCTAAACACATTACGTGCCAGACTAAATGGATGCTTTCAGAATAATTCTTACGGAAGGCTTGAAGAGCTTGACTATATTATTTGTTGGTGAATTTTCGTCAGTGATTCCTTCATCACTGAGAGACAGCTTGAGAAAAAAATACAGCTGTGTACACACAAAGCAACAAAAGGTAAAGGTGTGACCAAAAATACCCAGCAAAGAAGAGTGCGTAATTCACCACCTTCTAGCGCAGTGAATTTCGAGACATTTCCGCTGATTTCTGTTTCACTACGACAAGGGAAGTCAGTTTCGAACGATCGGCCTTACAGAAGAAAGTCATTCCGGTCCACGGGTGTTTGATTAACGTCTGTTTTTCTATGTTTCAAAGGCTACTCCGGTGCAGTTTGAAAATTGGCTGTAACAGTTAGGGCTATGGGTGCGCCCTGTTTGTGTTTGAGATCACTGTTTATTTGCTTCATGAGATAGAACGTACATTAGTAAAACGAACAACAAGCAGTCGGCTACCGACTGACCTAAGCCAGTCTTTTTGAACATAAACATAGATTCAGCTGAAGTTACAAAGGGATCATTTCTCACTTCCCCACCATGAAACACCTTGTAGCTCTACTGTAATAATCGAGTATTCAGGTAGTCTTTGCCGAACAGAGAAGCCAACAGTATCAAAGTGAAAAACTATCCGTGAAAAGCACAGTACCGAATAAAGGGCTTTGGCCTACAAGAAATAATAGTCAACCTAGGTAAGAGTAAACTAACTCGGGACTATTGGGAGTCCTGTCCTGTCCTGTTATAAACTGCAGTTTCCTCTGGATGAGTTCTGCATTATACCACTTACCTGATGAATAAGTGTGAAGTCAACTATCTTCACATCGGTTCCACCGTGTATTCGATATCCAAATGCGGATATGGGGTAAGTTCCTTCAGGGGCGTTCAAGTCAGAGCGAGAGGATATGGTGTTTTCAGCGGTGTAGGGAGGATTGCACTCGCATCTTGAGTATTCATCGTGAGTAAAGTTATTGTACCTACGAAAGAAAGGATTCGGTGCACCTATGAGAACATACAGTGGAGGTCGATGTTACTGTCGAAAACCGCCTTTGAATCGAGCCTGATAACCTGTATTGTGTCGCATGATTCGGGATATTCAAAATATATTCTGTTTGTGGAACTGAACGGACGACTTTACCGGTGCATTATATTACCAGTCTGGAGTGCGAGAACAAGCCTACTCGTAACAACTAATGATGATAGTCCTGTGATCCATCGGATCTTCGCTACTTCTTGCTCATCCAGCTTGCCAAGTTTTGCCATAGATACACAGATGTACTGTCAGATCAAGCAGCATCATTGGAAGTAAATATCGGATGATAATAAAAGTCCAGCAGTGTGGATGTTTACGACCAAATCTTCTCGGTCACTCTTGTGTAAACAACCCCGGACCAATGTGGCCCTCAAGTTGTGTACTGACCCAAAATCACAGGATGGATAAGCTAAACTGATCCAAGTGTAAGCATAACACAGTGGTGAATAACCGCTTCTCCAGTGGTTCATGAGGAAGAGAACATTGTTGTTCACGTGATTTTTGCTGTAATTCAAAAGTGGGAAAAATTGGCTGAGATGACGGCCGCTGTGGATGCCTGGCTTTTTCAAACCATGCAAAATGAAGGCTGTCCATAACCTCTGTCGGCAGGGCCGGATGAAACCGGTCATTCTACAGGGATGTTGGTGTAGCATTGCCCCTGTTTGTGCAGGAATCTGTATCTGATACGACGACTTTGTTGCGTCACTAATTTCAAATTTCTGGTGGCATCATGGGATTTTCATTAGTTGGTCAACATATCTGCTTAATTCTTCAGCTAGTACTGAAAGAATGACAAGAATGGTAATTGTCAAAGTGCCACTAACGAAATTTAAACTGACCGGCGAGAAACTCTGGAGGGTTGTTCACATGTTTCACATTGCTCTTGCTAAGACACAATACTTTTATTCCACAGGAAGCAATAATGAAATAATGTCGAGAAGATTAGGCTAGCGATACAAGTGTGCATAAACGAGGTTACCTGCCTAACTCATCTCAGCTAGGTGGAAGAAAACATAGAGTTAAATGTGACAGGTTTTTGCCCGCAGAGAGGTCTTCCATAATGTGAGAATTGGTTTGGTTTAGTTTAGACTAACTTGTTCAAAAATATTATCAGCCATTTTCTCAGATAAAAACGGAATCAACTAGTGGAATTTCACAAACTATGGTTAAAAACTAATGGGGGGGGGGAGTCCCTAAATCTCTACCTGATTGAGTAATCCATGTTCTTACGTATCTTCAAATGTCTTCAGTCAAAAGTTATCGCCGAGATATCTGGTGAACTCATTTCTATCCCGCTGTCAGGACCTAACATCGTTCAGTCATCCTCGGAAATTCTTCCTTGATATTTTGGCTTGACCAGGAACGTCGTGGCTCTAACAGGACCTGGCGTTTTAAAGCATCTGATGCCGACACCAGACAAGTGACAAGCATGTATGAGCTTGGTAGACTTCTGTGTTGGAAGTTACAAGGATGAAACCTTCTGACCGGTCTGGGATACTTCGCTCGAAACGCAACAGATAGCGGTGTACAATGGTAATGAGACCGTATGTATTACTGTGCCCCACCTGGACACTTAAGGTGATGGGACCACACCCTAACAGGCCTCAGGGGATTACGCGTCGTTCCATATCGACACGAGTTTCATGTGAATCCAGTCGCGCTTATTGAATTGTACGCAGGCGCTGGGAGTTCACAAACATAAATTAAAAGTATGGTCGAAGAAAGGCGGATGATAGTCCTAATTTGTTTCCACTAGTTGAACAATAAAAAATGCGCACGTTTTCCATATGTTGAACCGTGAATTATGTTGTTGCGTGAATTAGTAATTGGAATTTCAAGCCCAAGAATCTACGAGAAAATTTGACTTTCCTAGCCTCGGTTCCAGACCATTTACTGCCAAAACAGCTGAATTCTAACACGGGCCAGTAACAGTGAGCAGATAAGAACAACTTGACGTTATTCCATCGTTTTCGGCTCACAAAATACTTGGTTTCCAATTAATGCGAAATTCAGAGTGAAGACAGTGACAAATATTCTGGCTTTCCCCATCTTGTGAACCCGTCAAGGGGTTCGTTGTCACAGAATAAAAGATTGCTGGTTGACGCAAGTGAGAATGCACAAAAGTAACTATCTTTTGAATTTCAAAGTAGCCAAACTAGGTAACCGTATTGAATGCATAAATATTTTCAGAGTAGTCCAAATCCGACCATTGTTGTGTACATTGATTCTTACCTCATTAGTCTGTGCATTGTGGCCATATTTTCAACCTTGACGTGATCTCTTCTGAAGATGTTGGCACGTGCTGTCTTCTGGTAATCATACCAGTCACCGTATTTGGCCAGTTTTTCAGGCATTCCACTGAGGTTGTAAATCAGTGGGAAGTACCTGTATGGAAAAAAGTAATTTCCAGAAAAAATGATACAAAAAACAATCTGGACACCACGAGAACCAGGAGCTAAAACACAATTATTTATGTTGTTTTCGTGCGTTGCCGTTTGGCGTGATTGTATGACGTTGATTGAGGCCGACGAACGGGGGAAACCGTACTTTTCTGTTCAAAAGCACCGATTCGGTCCTCGTTTGGCTCGTCTGCATGCAAGCGCACGTTGGACGAATCTAAATTTTCACTCCTGAACAGGCAGACGTGTTCAGGCTCGATCGATGTGATTGGTGTACCCGACTCATCGAACGATAGTCCAGTAACTGGCTTGGTTGTGACGATCTATCGACCTACCTGTAAGGACTTCCATGTCGGATAGCCCAGGTGGGGTAGTGGCAACACGCTCGCGTCGCATGTCAGATGCGCGGAGTTCAAGCCCCGGCACAGCTGTTGGATATGCACTGCTGATGAGCTCCAATAGGAGCGAAACTCGAGTTCAGCGCTTCCCCCTCCCCTTGGTGTGAACTCACCAGAATAATTACATCAGGACGACTGTCAATCCAGATTGATGTGAATACGAACAATACATATCCTGCAACCCACCACAACAGAAACTAACGCATGAAAAATGATGAGAGAGCAAAGCTCTTCACGACGAAGTCTTTGCTACAAACCATCCGTTTTATGCTAACTAACCTACCAGCCGGTACTGTCATTGTCATACAGACACCTGGTCAGCTAATTTCGGAGCATTTCGTCTTCAAAGGAGTAGAAAACAGTACAAATCACATTGACTTTTTGGATACAAGTAGACACTACAAACAATCACCTTTATGACTGTAAATTGACAGGCCACTGCATTTGTTTAAACAACAGATTCGGTTCATGACTGGGCATTCCGTTCTGACAAGTTCGTCATCGGGGATACCAAGCAAAAAATACGATATAATACACTAGGGTTCTGATGGACGGTTGTTGTGGTCCGAATATAATGGTTCCACTTACTTTTTTTGATACTTGCCAAGCAGAAGGAAAAGCTGGATACAAGGAGTGTGATATAGCTTCTTGGAGTGATGTATTTCATGAATCCAAGAAACTAATTGTCTTTTGACGAAGACATCTCATGTAAGCAAAACGCATTGCCCCCAGTTACTCGTCATTTGAGAATCCCACCATTGACATGATTACAAGTTTTGATCAGGATTGCATGCATTCGCCATGCGGAAGTGTGCCTGGGAGACTCACAAGAGTCTGACTGATTTTATCGTATACAGGGAGTTTGCAATTCACAACGTGTCAGCAGGAAACTCGAGATCACTGGACCTTTCCTGGAAGGTTGTTCTTATCAAGTATGTTGAGTCTGGTTAGTTTATGGTTCGTGCAAGTCTACTGCGTTTCGTGAACTTTTGTTGTACATGAGATCTGGTGTAGAAAAAAAGCACCGTTTCAAACTACTGATCTTCTGACTTTCTCGTTTTATTTATAACGTATTGTTTCGTTTTTATTGGGGTTATAGTAAGTATGCCGATTTCGGGATACAAGTGCAACTTTTACGGCTTGTGTGATTCTGCTGAAGTGGTTCCTCCCTTGCTTTCAAGTTGCACGGACAGGCAGACAGTTTTGCTGACTTCCGTTCTGAGTCACTGTCTTAGAATAAACAAATGTTCATCAACGTGGTCAGTGTTTGTCCACAAATCCATCGGCTAGCCATGAACTGTACCAGGTGACCAAGACTTATGGAGTGCCGTTTTGTAGAAGGAAACCGCGTAATGTCTTTCAGTTGAGTGTGTGTCGGAAGTCTTGTTCAGGGCAACACACGACAACTCAGTACCCCTACCCACAGCGATAACTCGTGGAGTCATCGGCTTCATTCATCGGAATTGTACCCTTTCCAATCGAAACTCCAACAGCGTTAATACCATTCTATGCAAATTTACTATGTCCGCTCATTGGTAATTTTTAACCATACTTCCACTGATACACATATTCCAACAGATTTATTACCACTGGGTGGCAATTTCGTATGAAAAAATTCTACTTCAGATCAACTGAAGTAAGAGGTAATTTCGGATGCAAAAAACCTAGCCCATGGTGTGGAGTAGTTCGATGATAATTGGGGCAAACAATCTTGGCTTCCAACCCATACTTATATCACTCAGCTGTGCACATCTCCGACATTGTGGCCGATGAACAGCACCAATGGAGGTGTAGTAGATTTCATTTACTTTTATTCCCATAAGGCCCTCCGGTGATCTAGTACTGTCATGGAGACCAACCAATACAATGGCCTTAGTATTTCCCAGGCTAATAAGCTTCTCGAAAAAGTGTGTTTAAAACGGGCATCTTGCTTTATGAACCGCTGGAAAGAAAGCAGGGCATGCTTCTTGGAGTTAGAAGCACACACAGTGGAAGTTTCGAAGAGCCGTAAACACCTACAGAATATTTTAACCTCTAGCAAATTCTGACGAAGCGGGAATACATGTAGGAGAATTCCGCGATTGAAGTATGAGTGGCACCATGTCCTTTCTAAATACTCCTGATCAGGTGATCATGGTCGGACAGGCTAGTCCTCAACTGCCAACCGGGAAGTTGCGAACTCGAGAGATCCGTGAGACAAACACCGATGATGATGATTCACAATAAGGACGAAACACATGTGCAATGCTTTTAGGTTTTTAGGCGTAGACTAGCGACACTTGTAAGACGAAATCTCACTTGAGAAATGAGTGTATTTGGGGCACTTTCAACGGATTTCCGAGTTCAATCTTTTGAGCCTGCTGACAGACTTATGCGCAGCAAGTTTTCCAAAATTTAATTAATATGTGTCTAGTTCACCATCGAATCGTAATTTCAATAGTTGGTCCTAACTGGTGACGCTGACTCGTTCATGGAGTAAACGTTCTCTCTAACGATGATCTATCTGGTCACGTTAACCAGTGAATTCATACCGCTCGGAAGTGCTGAACGCCACACCACAGTCGATAGCACATGTTTATCGACAAACACTAGTCTAATCATATGGTTCACGTCGATACGATCGTTTAATTCTAGTTTCGGGGACAGTGTATTTTCCGTAAGTCACACTGACTTCTGGAACCAATAGCTGACACCTAGTATGCTACAACAACTGGATTCGTTATTTCACCATCGAAAATGAAGACGAACGGGAAAACAGGCATCTACTGAGAACGGGTCGAATGACCATATCGCTCTATTGAGATTGAGTTAGAACGAGCTTCTTCAAGGCTGGAGCTGTATGAGTTGAGCACATTTAGATCGATAAAAAAGACGAAACAGAAAGAACAAGGGTCAAGTTACAAGACATCTTGTACAGTGCTAATAATAGAGGCCAAGCTGGTCCAGTTAAAACAACCGGTAGCCATGAACCACCGTTTTGCTATCTGATAGACCCCAATAACGGGACCGAACACCATCCAAAAAAGGTGAATTTTTGAGATTTGCTGGTGAAGGTCTATGGAAAATTTTCGTTCCTTCTTTTCTGTGGCTCTCACGGTTGTTTGCCTTACAAGGGTACCAAGGGTACCGTACTACCAAGTACGGTAGACATGTTCGACAGAAGGCCAGGAGGATATGGCATAAAGGCATATTTGGTTTGGAAAACCTTCGATTCTAACTGGGACTTCGTTCTCTGTCACAACCAGAGTCCTGGGATCCAGATAATACTGAGATAGTTTATGCTGTCCCGGCCTGGGATGGGTTGCGTGGATCAATTCCTCACACTGTATCAGGTGCTAGAACAACGCCATACGTATAAGCGGCCCACAGTTCTAGTGTTCCTGGATTTCCAAGGCACATTCGACCCGGTTGACCGATCTGTCCTTCTTGACACAAAATAACATTATGAGCTCTTTGTAGTCTCGGACTTCCGGACTTCCAGAAGCTTCCGTACACAAAGCGGTGTTCGTCAGGGATGCCACTCTCTTCATTACCATTTAACTTCGTGATTGATGAAATCATGACACGAACGCTGCAAGGTCTTCAAAACTCTGGTGTTCAAATAGGCTCTGAAGAAAACCTTGTCGATCTGGAGTGCGCAGACAACATCGTTCTCGTCTTCGAAGGGGAGGAAAAAGCGCAGGTGTTTCTTGATAAACTGACCAAAGTCATTCCGTCCTTTGATATGCACTTTGCACCTACAAAGTGTAAGGTCATGCTCGTGGATGTGCAGTCACTGAACACGCCACTTATAATCCAGGGAGAGGTACTGGAAATTGTGGAACGTTTTACGTACCTTGGAATTTGTATTAATTCTGATTGTAATGTGAAAGATGAAGTCAATGCAAGAATCTGCAAGGCCCGGGTCGCTGCTGTTAATTTGAGACACCTATGGCGTCAAAGTGGTTAATCCATCAATCTCAAGGGACGTGTGTATCGGGTTACAGTGCTGGCTGCTTTGCTATGTGGCTGTGAGACTTGGTCTGTTCAAGCTGCGGAACTGAGACATCTTCAGGTGTTCAACAATCGTTGCCTCAGGACCATAGCTCCTGTGGGTTTGTGTCATCGAATCCGTAATGAGGCACTTAGAGTGCGAGTCTTGGGTGGTGCGACGGTTGCTTCCATTGAAGAATGTGTCCAGTACCAAACGTTGCGTTGGTTAGGTCATGCACTGCGTATGCCTAACCATCGTTTGCCGAAGAGGGTGCCATTTAACATACCAACTCAGAGTGGCGGAAGCAGGGAGGCAGCCAACACTTGACCTGGTAGAGGGGTATGATGGAAATTGCGAAACGTTAAGGTAGTGACGGTGGTGCTCGCCTTTCAGGATAGGTACCGCGTGATCCCCACTGCCCCGGGTCGGCGACACTGCAAGATAAGACTGCCAAAAGAAGTCAGTGGCGTTCTTGTTGTCAGTTTTTATTCAGATTGCGTGAATGAGTGTCTCTTGGTGTGGGCACCTAAGAATGATTCTTGTAGGCTAGTCCCTTCCCCGTCCACCTTTATTATTTTCTTCAAAATAGGGCCTTCAATTAAATCACGGTTGTAAGGCGGTGTGTTAAACACTGGTGTCATTGGCTGTTGGTCTGTTCGCCGAGCTTGGCAGTTGGATTGCAAACGTTTCATCACCAATCCAAGTGACATCGTCAGTGCAGGGTTGAGTGGGTGAATTTCTCCTCTTCTGCCCGTGATTATATAGCATCTAAACAGTATCTGGTAATTCTAAAAGCGATCTTCGCGTAGTTTGATTGGCCTCCTGGTGTCATGATATCGATGATGATGGTGATGATGAGGACCTTAGTAAGACAGTCAAATACCAAATGGCGTGTAGCTGATTCCAATGATGAAAGAACTTCGTGCACTACTTCGACTAAAGGTGTGAGCAGATTTTGTGTCCTGAGGAACAGTGAGAGAAACAAATGGGTCAAACTGTGTACCTGTCTCAATGTAACTAGAAAAGTGACATGAAACACATGACTGCCTGAATTGGGGTTCTGTTCTAAAACACGCGCCTTAACCCCCTAAAAAACAGATCCGTACAAAGGGAATCTGGGTTGACGACATACCCTCATTTACATATTCTAGTCGTTCGGCTGAATCCCTCATTTACGGGTTGCAATAAAGAAAGCAAACGTACGCTAAGTTGTAGCTGGGCCAGTAGGTTTGGTGCTCCAGGACGTGGGTGACATCCTCAGATTTCACAATACCGCTGAAATTAAACAAGGATAAAGAAGGCTGTCAGTGACAGAGATGATCGAACAAGAAATTACGTTCGAAAGGAACGCTTCGTTTTTTGCATTGTGCTGCGATTAAATGTGTTCGCTGGTAAGCACATACTTGGAATAACAGATACTCAGATATCAACTTGGGTTCCACAGGATGTTGTGTAGGTTTGTAAATAGGGTAGTTGTGTTACAACTAAATATGTATCCAAAACATAAATGGTAGTCCATGAGTTGTTCTCATAGTAAAGGCCATCCTCCAGGCTGACAGTTACTTAATTAGCCGTTTTATTTTTGAAAATCTTCTATGAGATTAGAGGAAAGGAAATCATGACTCAGGCAAGTGTTTTCATCAAAAGGTTAGGTGTTGAAATCTGAAAATCTATCAAGCCAGACCACAGGGACGTCAGAGGACATGGTTCTATTTACACTCGTTCGATTCGGTTCGGCTAAACGTGGATAGTGATGACTGCACTTAAGCAGCTATGAAACCACTAAAACCTCGATGGTCCAAATCACAGTTCGGTAATCCGTTTCAAAATGTAAACAAGCTGAAAACAGTCATCAAGGTTCGGTGCTGAAAGCCACGTGACCTGAAAGCTATCACCATAGCAACACAGTCCATATGATTCGGTTGTTTCGCCTGGCTGGATAAACAAAGATATTCCTGTAGCTGTGTTCAGAATAAGTGCGCAATCAACCTTAAAGTGTCAAATCCACTGAGTGTTTAAGTCCGTTTCGTCGAAGTCCTGTAATGTACGGTCTATGTTTATCATTTGTATATACGGTTTACAAGGTCAAATGTTTTTGCAAATATTGCCGTGTGCAGTCGATGTACTTTAGTGCTGAGTTTTGAATTCCTTCCAATGGGATCGCAGTACACTGAACCTCATTTTAGTGCACAACTCAATAACGGATCGAGTGGATACAAACCCGTCAGTATGCGATATTGTGAATTGCATTGAGATTTTAAGGTACAGTGAATGATATGATTATATAGTACGGACAGGACGTTAAGGTTTGTTCCCCTAGACTGCTATAATACGCATCCTTCGCTGATGCTCCAGTTGACGTCGAATTCCCAAAACTGGAGATACAAATTACCGTGCGCCTAACTGGTGAATTTTGCAGCGGCGTTAAGGATCGGAATTTCACAACCTTCTTCACAATATGCAGGATTTTCTTCTTGTGTTTCAAATGCGAGCGAGGAAGTGTACTTCTGGAGATTAGTTGGGGATCAAATTTGTTGCGATAAACTTACCACAGCTACACGGTAAACTGTGAGTGATACCTTCCAACCTACAAAACTGTTGTGCAAATGCTCTCATGATGCTACTTTTTCACTGTCGTTAACTAAGCAGACTTATTTTATGACACACTTAAGTACGGAAAACCAATTACTCAGGGTAGTGTGAAAGTTGGGAATTAGAGGCAAGACATTGTGGGGTGCTTCCCCTGTAGTGGCTCACACTCACGACAGTTCAGTGGCTTTCGAGAATCTGCGAGCCACAAAAGCCAAAACAAAAGACACATAAATGCGGTGTGGCTTACTTTAGGCTTCTATTGCACGGATGCTTTGCACCAGCAGTTGGGAGAAATTCAGAGACGGAGTGATTCTGTGACAAGTACCACTTATTAAAAGCCGCCAACAGTCCAAACAATATGTATCGGGATGTAACAATGGCACTCAGTGAAGTCCATTCCTGATTGCTGTAGTCTATACTCAGTCATCAGTCGTGAATCGCAAGTTACATCTAGCCTGACACCAGACCAGATCATTCAGACATTACCATTATTGGAATTGCTGGACATTTCTTGCCAAAACCTAGACAGTGCGAAATTTCGTTCCGTGACTCATCAGAACCGAACTTTGTAGTATGAGAGTTCTATCCTGATTACAAAGCGACAGACAAATAGAGGACGCACTTCTTCTTGCTTTCCTCCAACTGGTCACGTGTCCATCCCACCTACCCTATACAGGTTACTGGGATCCCTGTTTTCCTAAAACGTTGCTCTGCGGATTACGCGAAAGGGTTAAGTTTCGGTCGATAAGTTGACAAGTTGGGTAGCGAAGGAAGATTAATTGCGCGGAAATCGTCAAGCTGGCCAATACTACCTTTACTCCGCAGGATGCCGCGGATTTGCACAGACTATCGATTAGCAGTCAACCGATGGGTGTTCCATGGAACTGGACAACTGAAAAATCCGAGGATGTACTAAGTAGACTTTGAGGTTGTAAACTGATCCTAGGAGGAATGCTTGCAGATTTCTGCGGCTCCATCATAGGCCAATTCTATGCACTTGTTGTTGCTGGCTCTCATTCCAATTGGTTGGAGGTGATTCCTACCGCAACAACTACGGCATAGTTCACATCATTTGTCTTTTGGACGATTTTTAACAGCGAGCGGATCCCGGAAGCACCTATCGCGGATACTATTATTCATTATGTTAAAGGGGTCCTCAGGAATTGCAAAAACAGCATCCGCTATGGAAAGCTGTTTGCTTTTCCTCACCTCACAGAAGAGTTTGCGAGACTATTCAAACACATGATCTAGTTACCACACCCGATCACTTTTGATGAACTAGATAAAGTTACAAATAATCTCCTACCAGAACACTCCACAAGTAGAAGCAGCTCACTTGTTTAAGAACCCAAATTTAAGGTTGAATCCCACAAGTGTACAATCGGGGTCGATATGAGACCTCGTAAAGGTGCAATGTCGTGGAAACCGGAGACAAGACTGACTGGAGTCTCACTCACTGTTAAGTCTATAATTGGCTCATAGATAAGATTCGTTTCGAAGGAGGGTGCGATGCACAAACCCAAAAATGACTCCACAGCTGAGGAACAAATCGGGTGAAACGGCTAATTCTATGTGTCCAGAGCGATTCATTACAAAAAGTTACAATCAGCTAAAGCTCCCTATTAAATAGATCCACATTCATGCTCATCCTATCTGTAATGGAGGCAATGTCTAGACTTCGGTTCTATTGAAATGTTTATGTTTGCTACATTATTTACTATCTACAAAGTCACATGTATATCCGAATACCATGGAGCCAACGTTAGTTCAATAAATGCATTCAGCTACTACTGCCGTGTATCAAGATACTGGCCATTGGTGCCAGGAGGCAGGACAGACTCTTCTTGGCAGGTGATCCTGCTAGTATGTTCCAAATCAATATCTCCGATTCCATAACACTTGAGGAATTCGATAGTACAAAATCGGGGGCTACAGTTAAACACAATGCGCGGAAGATCGTGAACAACATAGACAACGATGTGTGAGGAGTGCATCTCATCCAGTTTTAGAATAAAATAAGCCAAAGAATTGACCGAAGTTGTGGTTACGATAGCAGTTCGTCTGGGAACATAAATCACTCGGATGTCGAAAAGACTATGTACAGCTAAACTGACACACTATCTCCCAACGGCGTTGTGTAAAACATACGCAAGTAGATTAAAAGACCTTCATTTGCTAGGAACTGGATTTTTCTTATATGTCCAGTAGTGAGAGATAACTCTGTCATCTCGGGTTTTGAAAGTTTATTCAGGAGTTGGAAGAAAGGCCTGTCAACAAGTTGACTTCACCATACTGTCATCGTCCCCAAAAGAATGAGAAGTCAAAATCCAACATCGTACCGTCAGATTGCATTGTCCCATCTGCGGTTAGCACATGGCGAGTGCACCGAACCAACACGCCATAAGACCAAGTACCCACGAGATAAGCGCGATAGCGAAATCACCCTGTGTTTTGAGCATTGTTGTGAACGAGCCAAATCCACAAATGAGCGACCTCGCATTTAAGGATATTTTGCGGTTCGTCGCGGGCGTTCTGTTAAATTTCCCTAACATGAGGGAGAGTGCACTGAGCAGACAAGCGACAAAGAGTACAGGTCCGCAGAACCAAAAGATTGCTGCGTTTCTGAGACTTGGATTCACCTAGTCCCAACTCACGAGGTTGAATGTGCGAACGCGTTCGTCCGATGTGGTACTTTGACAATAAATCATGAGGACGGACCGTTGGTTAAACTTTTATCACACTTCGAGCTGATCCACTCTATCTCAGACCGGTTTTGTTGCGTAACCAGTCAGATAGGGGCTTATTTTTTTAATGGTCAATCTTCAGTTGAACCAGAGCACTACATCCGCCATTAGTTGAACTGATAAGAAAGACCTATTTTGTCGTTTGTGCCACCTCGACTTTCGTGAACGCGAACAAACCTAAAAGTTATCATGGAGCTAGCTTACAAGCTAGCCTCCAGAGTTTTTGGAAATATCCGCAACTCGACTAAGTCAACTGACGCGCAATCGTTCCTCTTGACAAAGGAAATTATGAACAATCTCACCTCTCCAAGTTACCACGAATGCCGAAGCTTAGGGGGATAAAAGCCTCAAAGAGAGCTGTCCCCTGTTTTGAGTGGCAACCTTTCCAAGTAAAAAGAGTGTGATTCGACAATATGCTTAGTTATAAAGCAACTGAACAGAAGTAACGAGTATGGACAACTTTGACAGTACCTTATTTACACCTATCTGAAATGTATAATCCATCAAAATACCAGTCGGTCTGAGGTAACAGTCAGTATTACAAAGGTAAAATAGAAGCCTGGCATGACTACTTATTGATGTAAGGAGAACTCAAAAATTCTGTATACTTAAAAATATCACAATGAACTTCAGAGCGATGGTTACTCAGAGTCCAATGAGCGAGTTACCACGAAAGGAGACCTGTGGGATCTAGGGAAGGAAACGCACAAAACTGAGCACATTAAGCCAATCAAATCAATACTGGAACTACCCCAGCTCCCTCGGTGTTTCAAATAGACAACGCCTTCGAATATGTCACATACAGCATTTTTACTTATCTTAAGTGAAGTAGTGGCTGGTTTTCCAGCTGTGTATATCATTCACTTGATTCTAACCCAGACGGCTGTCTGGATAGTTTGGATGCCAGAAGATGAATGAAGCGAGAAATAAGATTTTAAACTAAGTGATGGAACGCCTGAAAATGGTTTAGAAGGGATGAGGATCCACGACCACTAACACTAGCATCAAAGGCTTTCAGATGTGGGTATGAAAGTGGTTAAAATTAGCGGTAGATTAGCGAGTACGAGTCAGCACTGACTATTCAGGTAATTAAACACAATTTGCTTTGTTGAGCAGCATGATTCACGAATATTTTTTATTTATATTAGGTCTGGACTTTAGCCGGTGGGGTTCATACAATCCACTCTGAAAGTCCTAGGCCATCCCACCGGACCTAAGCGGATTTATCATCAGTTGTGATAAGACAGCTTCACCTATCTGAGGAGCCCCAAGAGGTGCGAGTTGGTGGCAGACTGTTCAGAGCTTCCATTGACCCTATAAATGGTGTCATATGAAGGAAAGTTTTACCAGGATGTCGCAGTGATTTTCACACAGCCTCCCACTAGGACAACAATCGATTCGCCGGAGTGGTGAACAATAAGAGGCTCTCATACTCCATAGTGCTGGACGGCCACAGTTTGCGCCTCTTTGTGTTGGTCCAACCTCTTACAGCCCCATGGAAAAAACGATACGCCGAGAAAGTGAACAGAAATATGGGCTGTGCTGAGAACTAAACCGGACCTGTTTTGGTGCACACCGCAGGCCATAGTTAACAAGTATACCCTGTTTGGTGTGATTAGAAAACAACGTCAGTGTTGAAGCAAGGTACGGTAGATAGCGAAGCAATAGCTCAACCTTCGCATGAACGTTCAATCCATTTTATGTTGGTACCATTTGTGAACGGTCTGCATGTATTTTTGCTAATACCTATTTAATACCAGCGAGTAATACTTTGTAATAAATGAAACCACAAATGCACCCCAGAATGGTTCCAAAAGGATGGAACACATTTCACTAACTCACATTTCACTTAACGGACAACGTTGAGAAGTTTATTTTAGAGTCAAATTTGGTCCCTGGACGATGGAATGAGCTGTGGTAGATAATCGTGTGCTCAGATGTGCTATGGTTCAGAGACACGATTATTCGTTTGGTGAAGAGTACTTTTCAATCTAAGTAACTGGGCCCCGATCAGAAAAGCCTTACAGTTTGAAAGCTGACAAACTGACGTAAATGGGTGTTTCCAAATACTTTTTTTCTGGACCATTTGATCACCAAGTCCGATTTTAAAGTAAAATCAATGCGTTTCCAGGTTTCCGCGTCGAAGGTGGCATCCAGCAGAAGGTTATGTCAATAAAATGAACTATGGATTGGATATGCATGAAAAAACTCACGGTAGTTGCTCTGCAACTGTGAGTAGCCCTTTATTAAGTGTTTTGTCCCCCGGATGGTAGAGTTTGGCATCGAATACCATCCACTGATTATTGTATCTAAAATGAAAGTAAAAGGCATGAACACGAGCAAATACAGCGGTCCAAAAACCACCCCACTGAGCGAAAAATTTCGTCGCTGTATAATCGGGTACAAATATCATACTGTGAATTGCAAGTAGAAGTAGCACACATTCTAGTCTGTCGAGCTACTCCCCTAAAACATCGTGAAACTCTGGAAGGGGATCAACTTTCAGACGGGACCATGATTCGGTGGGTTCAGGTAATCATTCCAGGAACGGGAACCTGTGTTATGAATTTTCCTACATTTCTTACACTCTCTTACATTTCACCATGCCAAACTCTGAAACAGGTTCTGAATGGATAACAATCAACTGACCTTTACGCACTAAAGTACCCACTTCACATTACTGATCGGTAAAATATGAGTATGAAAACAAAAATCAGGGTCCATCAGGCCGGCACTCGTCCTTACCTTTGATTTAAACACATTCCTAACCACCATGATGCTGAATCCAAAAGTTTTTGGAGATTAGCGGCTGATTATTCTGAACATCAAGGACCGATAAAGCTCTCAGTGAGGCAGGTTGACAAAGCTGTTTCACAGCTGGCCACACGAATTCACCAGGCTCACTCGACATGGTTTCGGATATATCCTCTGTAAGTAAGACGATTAAATCCCGAGGAAAACGCTCGACCTAAGTTTGACGTTGCAGCCACGGGACTTACATAAAAATATATAGTCCCCATTCTGTCTACAGTGCCTACCGCTGAAGACAAGACAAGATGCGACCTGTGCAGATTTCACCACCGAGTACCAGCAGCTGCCGTCCGTAAAATTCATGAAGCCGGTTCACTTGCTCGTTTAAGATATTCGCAGTAAAGCTAAGTGAAGCAAGTGTAGTATTCCATTCGAAGTCGCAAGGGAAAATCAGAACGACTATGAATCACACCATTCCACATTTCCTCAACGGGTCACTTTAACTGTCATGCTATAGGGTGCAAATCAACACGCTATAAGTCACTTACGTCCCACTGTTTCTCTGACGGAAGTAGGAAACCCATTCGGGGCCGTTATCTGCCAGCCTGTTTGCAGCCATCACACGAAACGGTTCAAGCACGGAACTACCAGCGCCTTCACGCACGATGGCCCAGAGCTTGTCGTTGCTGTTCCCAATAGTCGTCTCTATAGTGACCTTTGAACACGTAGAGATGTGTGACATTAAATCAGGGCCTGCTTACCACGATTGCGCTCGTAAGGACACAACAAAATGAGAAGATGAATACAAGCAGAAGCCTGCAAAACTCACTAATGGGGAATGACATACCAGGGAGGGGATGCTGGTGAACTATTGTCAGACACATAAACGTTGTCAAGACCAAATTTAATCCCACAACCCGATTCAAATTTTTTCTTGCGTTGTGGCACTACTCGTGATTGCAAAGATCAATCGATTATAACGATCATGACAAATTCTACGTACTAAGCCCAGTGTTGTTTTCGGGTGTACAATGAGTTAAAAGCCTATCGTCCATTTTGTCATCGAGAAAGTGCCGATCCCCGCCTCAGCAACCTTGTTCGATCAGAGCAGGAATTATGAGTGCTTCGTTGGGGTGACATATGCGCAACCCATTGCTGCTGCCACATCGTTGGCCCACACGCCAACCTGTTTAGCTAGGGCCATCGGAACAGTTCACAGGTTGCGTCGAACACACTAGCCTGGACTTAAAAAGCCACGGTATATTGTGCCAAGAGGTTACCTGGATTGAACTAAACTCAACATACTATAAAACATTAGACTGGGTAGGACTGGACTATTGACACAGGCTTTGGGTCTGAATGGCAGAAACCAGCAAGGATACTACCGAGCAAACGGTCCAAAGATTGTCAGGACATATTGCGACGAAACAAAGGAACAGTGCAAACAAACCAGTTTACAACATTTCGGAACAATCTGACCTGCATGTCAAAACAAAAGGGTTCCGTATAGCCGACTACCAGTTCCACTAGCCAGTCACTGTACTCAATTTCAAGACTTCATTGTTATTACTAGTCGACTGATCAACGGATTCCGATGAAATCAAAATAACCTACGAGAGGCTTGTCTTTTGAGAACGTAAGTTAAAGTTAAAAACGTTGATGGCACTAGGTACCAAAAATTCAGATAAAAACGAAGAGAATGCTTTAAGGTAGGAGCGTAAGTGCATTATTTCACTGTTTCAAGCAACCATCTGCTGTGTGGTCACTCAGTCTGTCTGGCACAACGTTTGACGCTTGTCGGCTACACAACCCAGCGTCAGTCAAGCTTGGAACATCTTCATGCAATAACAGATGGTGCGTTGTTGGTAATGTGATGATTGTAATGGAAAGTTCGCCCTGTAAATGATGCCTATCTATGCTGTAAAACGGCTCGAGGCCGCTCGTCGACGAACGGCTACATGTTCAAACTACCAGCCTGGATGTGGCACGTTCGGGACTTCTTGGAGTTTCGTGAGATGCATAATATTAATGATTCCCAATAAAGATGAAACAACTGCGCAGTGCTTTTTGGATTTCCTAACACAGGATGGAATCTCTGTTATCTACTGTCTACTGAAGCAACTGAGAAATGATGGCCTCATGGAGTGTTTACCCCCACTTGGGCGCACTGACAACCGTTCACGAGTAAGGTGGGTAGAACAACGCGGAATGGGCGAAAAAGTGCGAGCGCTGGAGGCCTCTCCTGTAAACCATTACCTCGCTTCCAAGGACTGATCTTTACCTCAACTCTAGATCCGAAAAAAAAACAATGAACCTGGAGAACTCACCAGCCTTGAGCTAATGACGTAAAAGTCGTCAATCGAAGATATCGCACTTGGATAAGAGGAGAATGTGATTGCGTAGCCAGGAACTTGTTGTGTATCTGGAATTTAAAAGAAGGAGAAATATTATATGTTGGTTTGACTTGTCCCGGAAAATCACACCTTAATCCTAAACGAAAAACGCAGGATGAGATACTTGGAAAACTGTCCGATGAGTTCGGTCGAAAGCACGTTGTTGAAGAATGTCATTGCACGGACCCAATACGAAATGGTGGTGTAACTTTTTTCAAATGGCACTTGATCCAAGGCAGACTCGTACTTCACTTGGGGCATATTTGCGGGACTTTAAGAGATTTGTACGCGTACGCACGAAAAAAAACCGGTTGCTCTCTTAAACTGAAAACACTACACAAAGTGAGTCAATGAATAAACTGATCCCTTTTGACGGGAAACAATGAAAGCGGAGTAAACATTCCATCATCGGATAAACCATGTCTTTGGCCAGTGAGGAAAGAAGTGGAAACCACACTCATGCTAATAATTGCATTCAGACAAAGATTCTTCAGACGACTGGATATAGATCAGGCAAACTTGAAAGGCAGATGATGAATACATTCCAGTAAAGCAGGTAGAATAGTGTTTTGGTAAGGGCCTCCGTGAAGCAAACACAGTAATCCACGCAAGCTAATTCACGCCCCAGGAAGGGCCGCAAAACCCCATTAATTCCTGTCCCTGAAAACCCAACAATAATCCCTAAGTAACAGCTATTTAACGCAACCGAACAATCAATAGACGGATTGCCGGTGTGTTTTATCACTAATCTTATCAGCAGGAGGATAGAAATCAAAAGTACCAAGAGAGGCTTGATTTACACAAAAAGAGGAGACAAATTTCCTACCACGAGATTCTTCACGAGATATAGAAAAAAACTCTTACGGGAAGAGTGAAATTCCTGTGGATGGGCCTAAACTCCATGTATTTTTCATAAACGTTAGTTGACATGAAAGTTCAAGGGTTAGATTTGGTTCACATCACAGCAGTGCCATGCCGTGTGCGTGGGAAGACATTGGGTTACAAAGTACAAAGTCATGATTTAGAACGCGTAGCCCTTGAGCACACTCTTCGCAATTCAAGGAGAATTATCGTACGTGATTTTACACACTTTGGTAGTTTTAATGGCTCTGACGGAAATGCCCCAGTACACGAATCTCGGAAACCAGAGTCATTTTTGTTCTTCTGAGCCATTTGCGGTGTCAATAAAACGTAGCACTCGGTCTAACCGGTTATGTATGCATGTGTAACTGAGAGGCCACCTCTGCGGGTAGACGGTCTCCGGTGTCTTCAAGACTTTCGCCATCAATTTCAATAAAAGTTGCTGGTATCGGATTGATCGGCAAATTAATAACAGGAACACGAGTATTCGCTTTTGCTTGAAGAGCATCGATTTCGGAAGCGGTCCACTGCCACCAACGGTAGTGGCTCGGCCATCTGAACAGGCAACTCAGGTGGCATTAGCGCTTTGAGCATCAGTGCTCCTAAAGTATTTCGAAAGTCCCGTAGCCATAGGGAGGTAGGTATATTCTGGGTTATTAGAATACCAGTAATAATAACGGACAACGTCAAGAAAGAAATGGCCCGAAATTACATTTTGAGGAGGTTAAGGGAGCAAGAAATATTGATGTAGTAGGCTGCAGTTCTACACCCGCCCACCCTCCATACATGGACACTGCACCCCCACTTTGGAATGTTAGCCCACGATTGTAAAAACGAAACTTAAAATGGATGTTCTTATCCAATATAATTATTATTTATTATTATTATTAGTCACATGTATATATCTCATGAACTTGGGAGAATTAAAGGGATTTATAAGACGGGATACCTGACAACAACAGTCAAACCGAGCAGTGAATGTGAGACCGGTAACTCTTATTCACATTTTAGTCTAGAGTTACTTCAACCTTAGAAGTGGTGTGAATCAGTCGACGTGTGCAGAAGTTTGTGTTTCAACTTAGGTGATGTTCTCTAAAAATAAATTAAAATTAGACAAGTATTCGAACGTAGGTGTTAATGGCACCCATAGTAGGGAGAGTGCTACTTATAGGGAAGTTGTCTTGAGCAGAGGCAACACATCGGCAAAAACAACCTCTCCCATAAAACCTCAAGTCTCCTGAAGCAGCCGAAATCAAAAAGCTTTTAGGTGCTAATTGTGTGGCAACTACTTCATACTGATTTCTTGCTACTTTCAATCCTTCAATGTTTACTGCGTAAAGTAAATTTTCAGGTCAAATGTCTGTCAAAGTAGCTATGTGGCTCGGAAAACCTGCGATCGAAACGGCAGTCAAATTATGGTACTTTGAATACACCAGTTCAAATTCAGATGGGTCGAGCTGATTGACAGTATAAGTGAACTGCTTTTAAGCATGCAGAAAAACTCCAGATGCCTCAGTTGCACATCGTTAGCTTACCTTGTCCGCGCATATTCCAGGGGAAGTTGTAGTGTTTCAAAACACGGAGCATTGTTGTGTAGGGAGCCCAAGTTACGTGCGAGAGATACACGTTGTCATGGGTCAATTTTATCAAAGCAGAACAAGTGGGCGAAGAGACCCAACGAACACCGAATCTGTTCACGCCATTTACTAAAGTGTTCAGAGACAACGCCTGCAGAATCTCGGGTAGATCTCCAGACAGCTGAAGCAGACTGTGAATAAGATTAGTCGAAAATGGAAGCGGGGGAAAATGAAACCAGAAAAACATACGGACAGCAAATATAGGGATGTTTAGAGCCCAGAGTAGTTCAAAAGAGACCTTTAATGCTACCCATCTACCAGCCATTCATACAACAGTCCTTGATTTGGCCGGCTGGTAACGTGCTGTGGCTTTTGTTAATTGCAGCTGTAGGTCTGAGCCAAATCCAAGGGCTAAATTTCAAAGTCAAAAGAGACTTGGACTCAAAAAAGATAGATGTGAGTACCATTGACTACCGGTCTTATCTTGCTAATATCTTATTGCGCTGATAAAAATACGAAAGCTCTTAGGTGTTTTGTCTTCACGTCTGACAAGCCTGAGTTCGAATGGCACAACCCTTAAGACCGAGAAGACGTGTGCAGTTGCACTTCCTGAGATCTAAGCATCAACTGCTAATGTTATTCTCCCTAATCAAATAGCCTTTTTATTTTATAGCGAGTGAGTGAATTTTCATGAATTTATACTATACTTCCGATGTGGCATATTTTGTTATCCAAAGGGTGTTATTTCGCTGCCGATAAGTCCGGGTGAAATTACTCTAAATATCGTTTAAGTCTCCCACTGATACCAAATCAGTTAGTGTCTAAGTGTTTCTCTCCGAATCCGTTCAGTTTAGTGTTCCAATACCTATAATAGTGATGAAGATTCACAGGCTAGGTTGACTTAATGAGACTCAAGAAGGATGGACCCAATGATGTGCTCTTTGGAGTTTACTTAATCTCCTAAGGATGGGCTTCATGTGAAGGAATTTACCATGTTCGCAAAAGAATAAATCTGTTATATTTATTTGCATCACCAATAAGTGCTTCATCGTCGCACGTCGCGCCGAGTCAAAATGGGGATGAATTTCCAGCACACACGTTTACAATGACGTCGGATTCTATCTTAAACCTAAGGACAAAATAGAAAATTAGGTAGCATGATGGGGTGAAAAAATAACTAAACCTTGACTGTGGGATCGGTAAATCATAGACGGACGGGATATCAAGTAGATATCAGGTGAAAAGCAACTGCGGGAAGTTTCTGGTGCGGTCAAACGACTATCAACCGTGCTGTTCAACTCAAAACGGCTTCAAACAAACGGCAGTGGCATCTGGAAGGGCTCTGAGGGAGGGGTTATAGCAGGTTCCACTCTGCTTGCTATTCAGCAAATCAACCGTAAAGGCAGCAGAAGTCTATTACATCTCAAAACAGGGGCTTTGCAACAAGACAGTAGTGCTTACAAAAGAGCCCTGAGCATATAGTATGCATATATTACACCCATTTTGGGAGATACATGGAGCTATAGACTTCACAGTAAGGTTTTGTGGAACGGATAGTGATCTCAGTGTGAAGACTTAAACGCTCTTGAAGCCACTCGACCATACTCAATTGGATGGAAAAGCAGAGGTATAAATAAAGCTGACGAAAAGGGAGAGAGGGTGAGACTATATGAACCCTATGAACACACCGGAGGCAGCGAAGAACCTTGTGGATTTTAGTCCAATGATGTCCGGTACGTGAGATAATTTTGGACCAACTTGCGTGTGATGCTGTTCAGCTCAGTCTGCAAGCAGCTACGGCAATTAGCTTAGTCAACGCCACCAAAAGTGTTTCTATAATTTAGAATGCTATAGGGCTTCGGTAGATTAAAAAACAGGTTGGCGGATCAGATCTGCAACAGGACGATAAGTACCGAACTGATCTGAATTCCTTCTAGCAATGCTTTTTCGAATATTTTCAATAGAACAGAACTGCAGCCTTTGGGTCGCAACTTAGTGAATCCTGTCTCCGGTATCGGTGTCATCCACATCACTTTCAAGTCATCTAAGTCCCTCAGTATCTATGTGGCTTACGATATTACGGGCATTGTCTGGAAGTACTTGAGAACAGATGAAATTCCATCCTCCTCCTGTACAACCTGCCCCAAGAAGCCACATATAAGAACAGTAGATTATATATATATATATATATATATATATATATAGTGCATGATTGCAGGTGAAAAAAATCGGTAACGGATGTCACAGCTCTCAATTAGCTCATGTTCTCATCTAAACACCCGTTTCATTTCCTACCGAGTTTTCCTAAAACAACGGCCTTGCAAAATTCAACGCATACACTACTTTTCATACCAACTTGATTTTCATGGGAGATTTAATCCCAGTTGATGTTTTTTCTTTCTGAATACCATTAGATTACACTTTGAGGGTCAAAAAGTACGGATCAGAGTAGCCGGATAGAGCATGTCTGTTATGGGAAATGGTGCTGTTGTATACGACCACAGGGTTACTATTCTCCAAACATAATCGGAATGTTTACAGTGTTAACAGAAGCGACAAATAACTAATTATTATTACGGTCATTGACAAGTGTACAAACAAAATGATCAAGCATGTTATCAATGCACTGAAGGGGTATGAAAAGAGCAATCATTCGTGGTAGCCGTGCTGGATAAAGTGTATGAATACGTTTCATTTCCATTTGAACTTCTCAGTAATAGATGTTTAGCCTACATGGACAGTTCTACAAGTACCTCACGAGGACTTAGAGACACTTCACAGACCTTGACGCGGATTATTTCCTCTGACCCTCTCAGGTTGATTTACTCCTCATTAAGGGACGCCTTGTTTTCTTCTGTGGAGAGTATCATGCATCTAGGGCCCCCAGCCGTTCGCACATAAATAGTGAATGAACATGTGGACACGTGTGGCTATCAGAAAATACCACTTGCGACTAGTAGTCATCGTAAGAATAAAAATATTACGGAACAAAACAAGCTCTTTTCGGAAGAAAAAACTCGCAATCTGCGACACAATTATCCCACAATCCCTTCATAATTGTCCGCAACCGCCCAAAACGTTTTATACATCGATTAAAGAGAGACCCACCTCTAAAAACCGTCACCAGAGAGATGACCAACTGTGCGGCACAGGCTTTTCTCCACAGAAATGCTCATATAAGCCACTACGTATGAGTAGCACTCTTCTTACGCATTCTTATGGTAATTTTTCCACGGACATCAACCGTTTTTCCCGTCTGCCCGTGTTTCGAAAGCACACGTCATAATCATACCATATATCAGAGTAAAATTTTGTGCGTTTTGCCGTCCCGATCCGGTGACCATCAACTAAATACACCAGTATCTGTGAATGAGGTTATGAGTAGTAGTGCAGATTAAAATGTTTCTGCACCTGATCGCCTCTTCCACAGTGGCTCAAATTCTGTTTGTGAACAACTGGATACCTCATACACTTGCTATACGTGTAGTAGTGTCAATGACATGCGCATAGTTTGTATGGACCACTTGTTGATTAGGCTCATGCGTCATCGAACCGGGAAGTGAAGAATGAAGTGTGTTATCAGCTATTTTTACCAGTTTGACACCATCTACTTCCATAATGACTGTCACTCAAAACGAGGCCAGCTTTCCTCTATTATCCGCGGTAGTATGGAAAACATGTTCAAGTAGAACATAAGGTTGACGGAAACTCGGAGACTGCGCTTACCTGATGAGCCCCAAGAAAGGCGAAACCGGTCGTGGGCTGTCGAAGAGTTTTCAGCAACCTTGTGAGTAATGTATTATGCCTATAAAATGTATTGCGACATCTCGAATACCGTACTAGCCGAAACTAGGCGGCCTGTTGCAGCAACTTTAATTGCTTAAGAAATCGCATAAACCAGAGATTCAGCTGAGTTCCAAGTGATTCATCCTTCAAAACCAAATTGATATGTAAATGACTGTTATTCATTTCTTATTCAAATATTTTTGTCGAATTTCGGATGCAAGTATCAGCAGATTTGGAATTCAATATTTATCCCAAAAAGGTAATACTGCAAGGAAAAAAGATTACGTGCGTGAGACCTTCTCACTCGGGCCATCATGATTTGATGATTCATGTAAGTAAATAAAAATGATAGGAAATGCTTATGGAAGGTGAAGTTCAATGTTACCACACAGGGATGTTTATCGGAGACTCAAGAGATATCGAGTTGATATACGTCTTTTCATCCGATATTTCAGCCCCAGTTCCTTCAATTAATATGCAACAAATGCCATTAGGCGAGTTGCCAAGGTCCGTCTAGCCCCACCGCCCATCGAAGTTACGACACAGTGTACCACCAACACTGTTTGACCCACTCAATTTGATAGCCTGAGGATAAATAGGGGGTGGTAAAAACAGCCTGAGTAATGTGGCAGTTCTTGGGACCTATGAGTGTTCGCTAGATGTTACTGTGCGGTTGGTTCCCAAAAGAATGGTGGCAACGGAGAAAAACGATACGTTGCTCCGACTGTTTTTAGGTGAGAGATAGCACAGCAATCATGGCTGATTTCAGGATTATAAACTTGTAGCCAGCAGATTTCCCTATGTGATTTGCCGCGCCGCACATACCGAAGGGAAAACTCAAATATCAACAGAGAGGAAAAATCGTGTGACTTACTAGACACCAAGGACTTCTTCGGTCAAGCTGTATACATACTGTGGCGTCAGAATAGTGGAGTTTTCGACGAAGGTCTGTTTGTATGCATCGGATATCCCTTTGAGTTGCCACATTTGAAGATAAATCTGGAAGTTCGAGTAAATGATTTTCGGCAGTTGTTCTTCATTTCCATGTTTCTAAGTTGCAGACTTATTTAAAAACAAACAAACACAACTAATTTTCCTGAAACTAATTTTCTGTGGAACTGTCCAGTTTGTATCCATCGTTCGAAAAGGGTTCGGCCTTACTTTTGATATATACACCATAGAATAAACAGCGATAGTTGGCACCGCTTAGGACGAGCTATTACTTTGAGTAACAAGTCAATTCGTTCAGGGTGTGCGGCATGCATTTCGGACAAAGGTTAAACGGACTGCACCAGAAACTTGTCCTGGGGTAATTATTTGACCACTTCAAACAGGATAACTGTAACACGTATCGGCGTGGACACACTTATAAACACGGACAATAACTTTGGCATTTCAAATAACAGGTCCTATCTTCTTACCTTTCCCAACCTAAATTTCAAATTGGAGTTGTCTCTCTTAGAGCCAAACTTGTGTGTATGTGTGCCACAATTATTGTATGCACCAAAAAGATTAAAGCCTGAAACTGCGACAAATTCAACTCTCTCCCTCTGCGCAAATGTGACAAGACCGACAAATCAAACTGGGTTCGTTCTCCAAGAGCGATAAAAAATGTCGGAACTTAGAAAGCTGGTAGATGATCGAGACTAGACAACTTTATTAAGGACAGAGACCTGACAAGACCTCGAGGCTTGATTCATGCAGTAATTTTGAGGGCTTGCTACAAGCACAGACGGATGCCTCTCACGGAGAGCTAACGGAACAGCTTAACCAGTTTGAAACGAGGTTTGTGAGTGTTCGTTTGACGTTGCAAACCCATACACTTTACATCAAGCCGAGGTCGAGATAGCTCAATTTGTCAATGCACCAAATTACTGATCAGAAGGTCCGCTGTTCGAATCCAAATTCTGCATCTCGACTGCTCTTGTCTAGGATTGGGTAACCAGCCAGTAACTCAGACCTCGGGCTTCATTCCGGTGGCGTGACAGTTATACACGGTAAGGGTGTTACAGCTGAACGACTACTGTACGTCCAGGAAAACTGACTGGCATAAAACGCTGCGCTATTATCGAGATATCCTGCGTACTGTCGAAGGTATGCAGATACAGCGTCAAATTTGTTTGCCACAGGTGAAACTAAGTGACTGACTCGCGCTGAGTGCTAACAAGGCGATAAAATCAGTTTAAGGACTGAGAGCACCCGTTCTTCATGGGATGCTAGAACCGCATACACATTCAGCGTGTCCCTATCCTGTGTGCGTTTTTCGTTGGGAGGTAGAAGCAAAGAAGCAAATACAAAACATGTGGGTTGAAATACAGAATAGGTGGTTCACACTGGGATGCACTACGATTGGTCCGCTAAAAAAACCTGAAGACTAAGATTCTGGCAGGTGGTATTTGTGCTAGTACTGAAGCAGTACATTGGAGTAGTCACGTTGGAGTCAACGATCACCACACAGACATCTTGATTCTTCTGAGCTGTCTGTAGGCAGAATAGTTGTTTATAAGGCCCACTTAGGGCCGGATAACCCAGTGACCAACAATAGAAATGTGTAAACCTGACCGTCATTGCTTACTTGCGGCGAGACTCCAGTAAATTTTACCGTCTGTTCTACAGTTTTGATTTTGCCGTTCTACGCATGCCGTAATGCCGACCCCAACTTTCGCAGTCATTAAGAGAAATACATACCCACAATGTGGGTTCATCGTCACTCTTCTACATCTGGATTTCACACCTAAACTTACAGATAACCCTCTTTCTGCAACTTATTCTTATAATCTTTTTTCACAAAATACCATTTTACAAACCAATGTACAGGAGTTTTCTCGATAAAAATACATAACTTAATAAGAAGCGAAAACCATAGAACACGGTAAAGAACAGGGGTAAGGTATGTTATAAGATGCAAACGTGGGAGAAGTGTAACGTAATGTTATTGAATAATATTGAAAAAAAGTGACCATGAACAGGTTGCCTGCTATTGAAAGTGATAGGTGTTTGTGAGGATTTTAATCCTGGATGGAGCAGATGTTATTAAACTTCACTGTTGGACTTTGTAGTTTGAGAGTGACGTATACACAAGTGCTGTCTACCCTCATGAGACGACACCACTAGTTGTTATACAGTTTTTACACCGGGAATATGCATTCTGGCATCGTTCTTAACCAAAGAATTCTAAGGAACTCATGTTACAATGAGCGCAAACATCATTCAGATTACTTCGGAATTTTCTCAGGCTCCGTTTTTCACTCGTCGAGAGGGGTTGCCGGCTTAATCCCATTAGAACTCTGTTCACGAAGGTGACAAACCATAGCGATTAGAACGTCCATCCATCTGATTTCGCTGTAGTATAGTGTTGAAAACCAATCCATACGTTGACGACTACAATATCAAGGGGTTTTCAAACGTTGTCTACAGTGCAAATCACTAAATGACCTCAAATCAACACATACTAGGAGAATGGCATTTTATTTGACTTCGTTCGGTAATGTTCTCAGTCTATTGATCTGATAGACTGTGCCATACATCAGCTGCTGAGAATTCTCACACATATTTGGACAGTGGAAGCGTTTTCGCTTAGTGCATACAAAACAGTCAGGGTTTCAGGGACTCTTCATGTCACCCAAAATTTTTGGATTGGCCGTAAAACATTCTCGTAACAATTAAACGACACGGTGAAGGTCACTGTTTTGAAGAAGCATCAGATGCACTACATTGTGAAGTGATATTCGCACTACCTCCCGGTGTGATATCAGCTGAAGCGTTATTGGTGATTCCACCAGTTATCAGAACCTTTTAGTCATCCCATTGGAGTGCAGTCATCGATCGACTTCAGTGTGGATGCACCATTGAACCGACTCACGAAACTATTAACGACCGGAACACAAGAGTCGACAACTGATTTTTGCAAGTCATCAAACTAGGACAAAGAAATCGTCTAATTGCGGGACTGTGAGTGAAGTCCAACGGGATTTAATGGTCATGCTAGGCGTAACAGCTATATGTGGTGCTGCAGAACGAAATATTTCGGATTCAGGTACAGCAAACAGGCTCGCTTAGTTCATCCTTCTCCCCATAATCAGAGTTCACTGGTTATTGATCATCGCATGCCGATTCAACAGATTTGACGGATTTTTGGGGTTTACGGAAAAATAATAACCGTTCAGTTTTTTTTGTAAACACAAGGTGTATGTCAATATAAAATGAGTGCTGTATAATGTCCACACACGCTAATTTCGTGAATTGTTTGAAAGGTCTTATTCAGGTGTGGACATGGCATTCACACTGTCCACCAGCACTTCGTTCTGGATTCCGTGCGCAGAGCGTACGCTGCAACGGCATTGTAGTACCTTGAAACTCCGTAGTGAAGAAGCTGCAGATACATTCATCCGTGAATGAGTGATAAAGAGTGACTCGATTGTTTGGAAACACGACGCATCATTTGGAAAAGTTTAACGCGGAACACAAAGGCATTTTTGCGTGAACTAGAAACAGGCCTCCTTCCAAAGCTTCAGTGGATGCTCAAACTTCCAAGCCAAGGCTTTTGTCTACTGAAAAAAGTCCAACCTGTGGATTCCAAGGTGACCGAATGGGTGAAGTGTCATGGACTGTCAGAAAGAAAAGCACACTGACGGCAAGTTTCTACATTTGCTTCAAATGCAAGACACTACGTGCAATTCTGGTGACAAATTGAAGGTAGAACTACGAGACTACATTATCACGGCAACAGATATGCTGTAAACACAGCAAAGCCAGCCCTAAACCTGAATGATACAATCGTATCACTAAGCTCGTTGCGCGGATGTTTTCATGTTATTACGTATACGGTGCCCCGGACTGAACAGATGTACGAAGGTGAAAGGAGATGACGTGAATTTTCACCCGCAGGCTGACGTCAAGTTTTCGGATTTCGACACGAATCCAAGCACAATTGACAGTGTTGAATCGAGTTTTAATTTAAACATTAAAACGTATGTCTCCTTCTGTTAATCAGACGCATTCGTTTGTTTTTAATGTATTCCGCCACATCGGTTGACGCAATGTACACATAAAAGCGGTAAGTGGAACCGGTCGTGGGCTGTCGAAGAGTTTTCAGCAACCTTGTGACTAGTTTCTTTTACTGTAGGTTAATTTTTCCATCGTGTTTGTACTTCTCAGCAGTAGTTCGAAGAAATTCCGGAGCCAACAGATACAATGCAGAATACCCTATCTTCGGCCGTTGTTAACCATCCAACTCATATACACGAAACGGTGCATCCTGACAAGGGTCATCCGACTATGTTCATTCCTCATTTTGGTGATGTTTTTCCTATTATCGGCAGACAACCATCAGTTGTATTCTATCCTGAGGTAAACGTACGGTGTTGATAGAAGTAGAATTATTTGCCATTCCTTGCCCAACGATGTGAAGTTCCATGCCGTGGATGTGGCCCACCTCTCCGTGATGCAAACTCTGTACCTGAAAATAACCTTGATTTCTGACTGTACAAAAACTGATGAGATAAGAAAGCCTACTTCTCTTCTTCACTTCAATTGGATACATTTCCAGCCCACGGCTGTTATCCCCGCATTGTTGAAAAATACTATAATACCCTATAGATTACGTTTAGATTCTCAGCTAGCTACTGATAAGTGAGATAGTGAACGAAAACCCATTCGAGCAAAATCATCCGAGTGAGCAAACCATGCCGTTAGTTAGCTGACAGCGAGTAACGAAATGCTTCGGATGTTTGGAGATTACAGAACGACACTCAATAGATACCTGATGCAAAAATGCACACAGCAGAAGAGTTTGATAATACAGTGAATCGACTACAAGGGCGCACCCACGCAGATTCTCCCGGACAGAAATTCCATTCAGTTAGACAGAATCAATGCTCCGATTAGTTTGTATCGTCAGTGGCGATGTGCCGGAATATAGGGCCACCTAATCGACCACCAATTTTATCATTATTCTATAGCACCACTTGGATTATTGTAACCAACACGATTTTCCCAAG